TTATAGCTGGCTTTAGCACAGCCAGTAAGCATTTTTCATAACTTAGTTACAAAGCTTTGTTGAACTGACTACTTATGATAATCGCGCTAGGCGCACGGAAGCCTTAAGAACAACTTTGGTGTTTCTAGAACTATCTTCAGGCCAATGCCACAGTGCTCTACGCCACTGCTAATACATACGGGATCTCTATAACCTTTAGATTAAAGCTCAAACAGTTTATATTGTTCAAATTGTTGCAGTTTTTGAAGATTTGGGAGGGATTATGGTTTTGTTGAGATTGTCATGAAGGGAAAGGAGTGAAACTTTAACAATAATCCTATTGTGTCTTCTGATAATGAAACAAAACTTATAGTATTGGCAAAAGAACATATATAAATTGAGCTGAATTTGAACTAAGTTTGGGCAGTGAAGTGTCAGGATCATGCTAAACTCCCCTTCCCCGCTCCTTCCTTACTACGGTTATTACGCATGTTTTCCAACAAACATCCATAGCGACATACTAACTATATCTTTGCGCCTATTTAGATACTTAGATGGCCTGTCTTCAGTTGTCGTGCAACCACAGCACTGTTTAACTCTCGTCGTTTTCGTCTCTCGCTAGCGTAATCCACGATATTGGTTGAACTGCGGCAGCGACGTTTGCGAGGTCCAGGTCCACTACTCGTTACCAGCTGAGAATTCAGCTGGTTCATCCGTGCAACGAACACATCAGCCCATCTGGTCGATGGCCTTCCTCGAGGACGTTTTGCAATCCATTCCTGAGTTCTTAGTATCCATCTTTCGTCTGTCCTTCTCATTGACCAGCCTATCGATGATTTGCCCTAGAGACGTATTTTGTTGGATTGCGAAGACGAGACATTGGTCTCATATCTGAAGTGCGAAGTCCGACGAGATGTTGGTGCGTCGGTTGTACTTCAGAAGGGGTCCCAGCGCTCTGTGGGGTTTGGAGAGCCTTTGACGTAGCCATAGTGTCAGGCCACATCTCTGCTGCGTAGAAGATCGCATGAATTGAATAGGTTTAGAAGAGTCCCATTTGAACTAATCTCATCACCATTCCTTCTTGCGGCAACAATTCACTATCACCTCACTACCACAAACACCCACTAGCAGCCAACATTCTTCGCAATACTTATGTAGATAAAGTATTCTAGCATCATTTCTAGAACACGGTAAGAATTTCTACATAAACTCGAAAAAGGTCTACAATGACGCGGGCATGAACCTCAGAGGCTCAAGTAACAACCAAGAACTAAATCGCTACATCGCTGAAGAAGAGGGTTGCAAAGTCGATGAGTATGTAAAGATTCTTGGCCTAGGATGAAATACCGTGACTGATGAACTCGACATCAAATTTCTAGTCTATATAGCAAACGATCCAATATGGACAAATAGAAAAGTCCTTCAGAGAAGGCGAGCATCTACGACCCATTTGGATGGATCTCACCAGCCACCTTGATGGGAAAAATCTTTTCTCCAAAAACTCTGGATGAATAATTTGGGACCAAGCATTGTCCGACCACCTCAATGACGAATGGACAACAAGTATCAGATCATGGAAAACACCCACAATCAAGTGTCCCCGTCACTTCCTCTCCGAAAAAACTACAACAACGAAAAACGAGATTCACGTCTTCACAGATGCTTCGCAAGACTCCTACGCAGCAGTCTCATCTTTAATCAAGATAAAAAGATGCCACAAGATTAGTAGCTCATTACTGGTTGCCAAATCACGACTTTCATCAAAGACCACAAACAACGATACCAAAACTGGAGCTGATGACGCTAACGATAGGAGCGATAGGCAGGTTAGTTCGTTACAATTATTTAATAATCGTAACGAACTAACCTGCCTATCGATAAAGAATTCATTTGGTGCGACAGTAAAGTCGCGCTTGATTGGACGAAAACAACCAAACAACTTTCTGAATTCGTGCGCAACAGAGTTCGTACAATAAAGAGCTGCTTCCGACGCAAAGTTCCTCCATGTGCCCGGCTCTGCTAATCCCGCTGACGTCGCCTGACCTTCTGGAGAACCAGATTTGGTGGGCCCACAATTCCTACTACAAGAAGAATCTTCTTAGACTCAAAACTACGAAATCCCTCTTGACATTCACCAGACCACACTTCTTCCACAACTTGCTCTCCAATCTCCACTTTCAGTGACAGCAAGTGAAAGGTTCATCACATGGAAACGCCTGCTTCAAACGATGACCTATATTATCTCTTTCATATGTCGAGTATCACCAACTACAGCCAAAATATTTGGTAAAAACATCCTTCAGATTCGCAAAACAGCAGAAATCGTGCTTTATCGGGTGACTTTTAAAGATCTGCCCAAAGGAGAATCATTCAACAACTACGCCTGTTCAGGTGCAGCTCAACCAAACTGTACCGTGTCCAAACAAGGATTCGGAACTCCGCACTACCCGCAGAAACCACAAATCCTGCACTTCTTCCCAGGAAAAGCAGGATCACTTTTCTCTACGCTAACCACATACATAGAATTAATCTCGGAGCAAACAGTGATTGAAATTTGGAAATCCGTATGAATTCCTAAAAAAGAACTACAGTGAAGCACGCTATCAACACCTTTTGTTTCCAAAGTCGAAATCTTTCAAGCTTCCCGACTTCCCATTTCTTCCAGGAACTGAATCGACCAGCCTATCCTTTTGAAAACGCCGGAGTGGATCTACTTGGACCATTTTAATCAAATAATACCATCAAGAATGCTCTTAATAACAAAATTTACAACTCAACGAACTAGATACCTTCGCAAAAGAAGCCGAAGCCATTTGCAATTCCAGACCCCTGATTCATGTCAACGAACAGCTTGACTTCGGACCCTTGAGACCAATAGACTTCGTTTTACAGCCCTCCTCTCACCGCCTTATCGACGAAGATGACGAATGGAAACCAATATACACCACTAGAAATAACTTAATTCAAAACTGAAGATTCAGTCTGCAACTTCTCGTGGTGCGGAATACCTTCTTCATAACATCTGACAAGTTTTGGAAAAGATGGTCGAATAATTACCTCATGACCCTCCGCGAAAGAAATCAGTCATCTCATCCTCACCTAAGAAGTTATGAAGAAGGTATTCCGGACCACGAGAATTCGTACTCATCAAGGATGACAGTCTCAAACGGGACCAGTGGAAACTAGGACAGATCTGTGGCTCTTGCGATGGTAACAGTGGAAAAAAAATTACCCTCTAGAAAGGTGATAGCGCGTCCACTAAATCTTATCTCTCGCTTTGAGATAGCTACATCTAAAGACTCATTGCCAACAACGGATGCATGTAATGACTCATCGTCAACAACGAATGCATGTAATAACTTATCGCCAACAACCACGACAACATCTTCAAATAATTAATCAATGATGACTCGTTCCAAAACACGTCAACGATCACGTCACTTGAATTTCGCTCACATCTCGCTTGCGCTAATGGCAATTACACTCATATCGCAAGCCCCAGCAAATTCAAAATAAGGAGATAAACATTCTAAAAAGGGTACTCTGCACAACTGCGTGTGCAAGTAATGGAGCAGCAGTCGTGATCTATACGACTAACAAAGGAGAAGATTTGTGTTGGTTCCCCTGATAGAGACATTCAAGCAGTGTCAACAGTCAACTCACAGATTAGTGGACCTAGATGTAAGTGCCCACAATGGTCGCAATTATGCTCACATCACAGTGGACATAGAACAACTCATTCCTTTTGCAAACTTTCCCTCTCATTTGAAAAACTTTACACCAACGGAAGTATGCGCCTTTCAATCAAGTCCGTCACGCCATTTACAAAAAAGAATCGGATGCAACCTAATTGAATTGTATGACCAAACTCGACTAATTGTGCCAAATCTCAGTGTCAGAATCAAGGATTATATCGATTCCACCGACCTCATATGCATCGACATGAAAGGAAAAATCACTTCCACCGATCCACCATTCAAAGGAACTTCATTTTTCTGTGAGAAGCAACGATGCAATCAAAACGCTAACAAACTTTATCTCTACGACAAGCCAATCGCCTTATATAGTTTTGACAACCCTAACGACTCGATTCCCATCAAAGCTTGGGGAACAGTAATCCGCGAATACTATCCACATCCATCGCAAGACGACACCAGAAACACCAAATTACATTTCACATGTGCAAGAGAGGGTTTAGACGTACGTTTGTCAACTACCATCGATACCATGCATCACTTCATACTGCATCTACGCTAAGCACATATCTGAGATGACAATCTTATTTCCAACCGAACTCGTCATCTTCAAATATTCAGGAGCAATCACAGCATGGAGAGACGGACAAATTTCAAATTTACAACTCATAGTGAATCATTAAACGTGCTTGGCACGCAATGACGAAAATCTAGTATACTCTAAATTTCGTGCGAACACTCAATCTCTGCCACACCGATTACCCCACACCAAAAACCAAAAC